GTGGTTCTGATTGTTCAATGTGTTGTGTTCTGAGCAAGAGAATCACAGCTTTCTGTGCCTAAGTCATCACAGGGGTCAGTTCAGTAAAGACTTCTGTCCTTCACCCTTCAAAAGATGGCAGATTATATATTCCAGTGTTGCTAGGCCTTGTGTAAGCTAATTGAGTAAAAAACCACTCCGCTTACCAAGAGGGGCGACTTAATGAGGTATGCTAGCATAATGACAAACTTTATGAAACTTCTCAGCTGAGTGTAAGTTCTGAGCTTACATGAGTTCTCTCACTATTATTCATGCTTCTTTGGTTAAACCATGATGACGTTTGTAGGCATTATTTTGTAAAATTGCTATTGCTCCAGATTCAGCAGCTCTATTACAAGTGTAGTGCTTAAAGAAGCTGCCACTGATGTGGGCAGTTGTTTAAAGGCAAAATATATCTCTCATTTTTCAAGACATGTTTTTCCTGGAAGTGTATATTTGAATATTCTTGGCATCATAATTGTGTTCTTACCAATAATTAAAACATTTTCAGTTGTTTACATCTTGTAGTTGAATTGTTGCCCTTGTTGACAAGCTAAATGTACTATACCTTTTTTTTTTTAGTTCCAGACAGCTGTGTCATTAGAAACATTTCAAAGAATGTCTTTTGAATAACATATTTTAATCTGAAACTTAAAAATTCTAAAAACTAATCCAGCAGTTGCATTATTTCACTCAAATACTAAATAGGTATTATTAATATATTTTAAATAAAGCATAAGGAATTAATCCACTGAAGAACTTTGGCTAGGAAGACTAGGACATAAATACAAGTCTTGTGAATTCTTGTGCATCTCCAGTAATGGGTTGTAAGGAATAAAGAGATTTCTATGGAGAATAAAATACCTTTTTGACTGCTACAATAGCAGTAAATCCTGAGAGAGCTTTCCCCACATGAAAAAAGAAGTAAAACGAAAATAAATTGTGCTGTCTAATAATTTGGGAACATAGTAGTAAAAGAAATTATTAAGCCTTCCCGTAAGGAGAGATGTAGGTAAGAAAAGGAAATAAGAAGTTATTAAATAGGAGGCTAGGGCTGGCCTTGTGATAGAAGAGGCTGTAGGGCTGCCCACAAACATACATCTTCAAAAGAGTGGTGAAAAGCCAGGGTTATCTGCATAGCAAGGTTGTCTTTTTTGTTTTGGTCAACACTTGTCTCCAAAATACTGCTTTTTTGTCTCCATTTCCACTCTGCCAGTGACAATTAGTCAGACCCAGGCTCAAATCCACAGCTGGTATGCCGTCCCATGATGTAAATTATTGCTATAAGACTGCTGAGTCAGGACTACACCAAGTAAAACTGGTAACTCCTCTTGTACAGCTTCCAGCTATTAAACATCTCCCTAAATGCATCTGAAATCTGTAAATATTGTGGTGAAAAGACTCTGGTAAACCAGTCAACCTGAAACAAGAGTTTCCTCCTTCAAAATATTCACAAGGCCTTCACAAAGCGATCTAAACCAGTTTTTTTTTAGTGGAGTATTAATAAGAAGCAGCATCTTAGATGTAAAAATTGAAATGTTCAAGCTACTGCATTAGGTTTCGCATGGCTCTTGTATGGAGTGTTCCTGTTGGATAGGGAAAGTGAAAGAACCATAACCACAGACCTATTTAATCAGCATCTAGAGAGGAGGTCATGCAGCAAAGTGGTAGCAAACACAGGTGAAAAACTGGGTTTTCCCTACCTGCCTGCTCCGCTGCTTTTGGAACTAGACGAATGCGTCTAGGACCTTTGCACGTTCAGCAG